TTTGTATATTTTACACCATATTCAATATATTGTTTTTATTTTATTTTATTTTTGTGTATTTTATACCATATACGGTATATTGTTTTTATTTTATTTTGTGTATTTTAAACCGTATACGATATATTGTTTTTATTTTATTTTTGTGTATTTTATAATGTATACGATATATATTTTTTATTTTATTTTTGTGTATTTTATACCTTATACGATATATATTTTTTATTTTATTTTTGTTTATTTTATACCATATACAATATATTGTTTTTATTTTATTTTTGTGTGTTTTACACCGTATACAGTATATTGTTTTTATTTTATTTTTGTATATTTTTCACCTTATATGATATATATATATATATAAAATTCATATATTTTTGTGTATAAAATACACACAAAAAAATACACATAAAATACACCGTATACGGTATATATATATTTTTTTTGTGTGTCTGTATTTTATACCTTATATGACGCACCCACACCTTCCCCCACCCTCATTCGTCCCACTCTGGGCCCTTGAGCAAGGCCCTTAACCCCCACCATCTGCTCCTCTGTGTGTCTTAGATAGCAGCTCTTTGTTCCACACAGAGGGCTGTGGTAGCTCGGTGGTCTCTAGTTGCGTCAGGAAGGGCATCTGGCGTAAAAAAAATAACTGCCAAGTCTTCATGCGACTTAGTTCGCTGTGGCGACCCCTAAAATAGGGAGCAGCCGAAAGAAGAATACACGCACGCACGCACGCACGCACGCACGCACGCACACACACACACAGAGTAAAACTAAAATAAATCCATGACAATTTTTGTTCACATTGCACTATAGTGATGGGAATCAATCTATGTCGTACATCTGTCAGCCATTCCCATTTTTCTCATTTTATCTTTACATTTTACCTGTCATGTAGTGCTATCATGTCATTACTGAGCAGTACTGAATCAGTATCAGTAGTCTTGGCAGAAGACCACATTTTATCTTCCCTGCTGCCCATACGTCCTATTAAAGCCCTTGCCAGTGACATTTAGAACAGCATCTGATCTCAGAAGAACTATGTTTCTTTGTGTCTGCATGTCTGCTTGTGGCTTCATGTTCATTCATTGTCACCTGAATTAATGCTTGCATGCAGCTTTTGTGGGTGTGTGATTGTGTGTTGTTTATTTTGGGATCCCCCTCTAGCTATCCCTAGTTTCTGCCCAGTTGCTACCTGTTTTGTTGATCATTGCCAAAATATGTCTGACTGCAACTGAAATCAGGGATTATGTGAGAAACCAAATGAAAAAGCTCAAAGCCTTTTCCTTTACAGGTTGTTTGAAATAAATGTGGGTCCAAAATAAAATGAAATCATCCATCCATTATCTTTACTCGCTTCTTCCTTTCCAGGAAGTGGAGGTCACTGGTGCCCATATCCAGCAGTCACTGTGAAAGAGGCGGGGAACACCCTGGACAGGTCTCCAGTCCATCACAGGGACACATAGAGACAAATGAGACAAACAACCATTCACTATCTCACTTTCACCTAGGGACAATTTAGAATTACCAATCAGCCTAACATGCGTGTTTTTAGTCAGTGGGAGGAAACTGGAATATCTAGAGAAAACCCACACATGCACGGAGAGAACATGCAAACTCCACCCAGAAAGGCCCCCGACCAAGATTTGATCCGGCAACTTTCTCGCTAAGAGGCAACAGCTCTACCAACTGAACCAATCTCAATTGAGATCAAGAAAAATATATTATAAAAAAATGTGGTTAAGAATTGCACATATAATTGGCCCTTTTACTTTCGTACTGAATGAGCGACAAGACCTTTGTTATATATATTTTTTTGTTTTACTGCTTAACAACAAACACAATTTTGCAAGAATATGCTGAAACTTTCTGCAGTCCACAATTTTCATGAACTGACAGCCAAACATTTAAAAAAAAAGTTTTCTCCCAATACAATTTAATGTTTGCCAGCCTGATGTATAACATCTGTTGTTCTGTGTTCTTATATAGGTTTGTGTTATTGTGTTTCACAGAGCACAGAGCCAAGTCCTGCCAGCAGCCTCCAGTCTCTACCCATCAGTCCCTGCAGTGAAAAGTCCCTGCCATTTAAGGTATTACAAGTCACACTATTTTATCTTTTCATTACTGTATGCCTTTGTTCTTTATTAAATTTATTTATAATTACTTTTAGCCATAATACGTAAATATAGACAAAAGCCTCTTTGTGATGTGCAGGGACTGCTAAAAAGATGATGTGATAGAAAACAATTTCACAGAAGCTAAACCAACATCCATCCATCAACTCAATATCTGTCATTTGTAATTGTTTGTTATTCAGTATTACTGTGAAAGTATTCATTACAAACAGTGACTCCCACGACCCCCAAAAAACAAACAAAAAAAAAAGACAAAAAATTATGGATCTGGTCTGTGCTTCATAGCTCAGTTGATTCACTTAATCCTTAGTTTTTGACTTTGAGGTCAACTAAAATGGATAATTAACACTGAAATTTAACAATTTACAATTCCCATTAACTCAAAGGGCATTTGATCAATGCTTGTTCACTTTTATATATCAGCAGGACAGATGCAGCTTTTGACTCTGCATGCAAGTTGGGAACTTGTTACCCACCAACAATCAGAAGACAAGCTTAAAAGAAAAACGACAAGTTTGTTCTGCATACTGCTACTGTACTGTTCAGTGTGTTGAACCTAGCAGGGAGTGCAACTCATGTCACAGTTGGTCTGAAAGGGCCAGATGTCAGGAGCCATTTAGAGTTCTCCTCTAAAGCGGCCGGATCAGTCTGATCATTTCAGTTCTCAGTTTGACTGTGGTGGAAGTTTGGTTTAATTTCAGCAAGGGATTATGAATATTGCTGATGCAGAATTCAGTTCAATTCAAAAATACTTTATTAATTATTTAATTACGATTAATAAAGTATTTTTGAATTTAATTGAATCAAATTAATCCCAAAGGGAAATTAAATGTTGTTGTAGCTGTTATCCTTGATTCATTAAGAGATGTTATAGATACTGATGGCTGTAGGCAGGAAGGATCGCTTGTAAAGGTCCGTCCCACAGCAGATCTGAAGAAACTGGCCACAGATGCCGTTTGGTCCATCCATGCAGACTCCGGGGGATCCCGGTCCTTTTGCTGTCACAAGCCGTGTTTCCTGCTAGTTCCAGGATCTCAGTGGTCAGGCATTTGAGCACAGTTGGCAAGGAGATGGAAATGCATCCACAGCGCCTCCTTTTCAACTCATTTGAGATTTGGGGCTGTAGTTGAGATATTATTTGAGCTTTTGAGATGTTAATCAGCTGCTTCCGCTTGTAAAAACCACCTTGTTGTTATGGTTACGCATCATAACAAATGCTCAAAAGTAAAAAAAAATCTGTAATAATCCACTGCGCAGCATCAGATACCAGAGGAAACAATCATCCGAAAAAAGTGATTTACATCCAGATAAAGAGGAATTAAAGTTTCTGAAAGCAAAATCTCAGAATGAAAGTAACAGAGGTACTCCAACATGCAGCCACCTCGAGCAGCGCAATAGAATAGTTCAGGTTTATATTTTTGAAATGTATGAAAAATAGAGGGCGACAATGTGGTAGAGTTTATATAGCTGCTGCCTCTCAGCAAGAAGGTTGCTGGATCGATTCCCAGCTTGGGGGGGGGGGGCCTCTCTGGGTCGAGTTTGAATGTTCTCTCCGTGTATGTGTGAGTTTCCTCCGGGTACTCCGGTTTCCTCCCACAGACCAAAAACATGCATGTTAGGCTGTATGGTAACTCTAAATTGTCCCTAGGTGTGAGTGAGAGAGTGAATGGTTGTTTGTCTCTGTGTGTCCCTGTGATGGACTGGAGACCTGTCCAGGGTGTCCCCCACCTCTCACACATTGACAGCTGGACATGGGCACCAGTGACCCCCACTTCCTGGAAAGGAAGAAGCGGGTAAAGATAATGGTTGAATGGATGAAAAATGTAAATTCTTCATTTGTATTCTGGTGTGTTACACTAATAATAATAATTGTTTGCATTTCATCTTTTATAGTTTTGTCAAAGAAAGAAAGTCTGGGCCAGCGTGGCCACAAACACCCAGTTTTTTGTGAGTTCACCAGTTTAAACCTTAAACTTTACTCTAACCTGAAAACATTGTTTCAAAATTGCTGTGTGACTTAAAATACTGAATTTTGTTGAGCTCAGCTTTAGCTTTTTGTTACAGGCACAGAGCAGACTCCATCTCACAGAACTAAATTACTCTGGGTTGGCCTGTTTAGTTAAAAGAGCACAGCAGTCTGTCTGTTCAAAAATATAAAACTGAATTCTCCTTTGATCTGTGTGTCTCATTCAATCGTAGCCTTATCATAACAATTAATGGTCTTTTTTCCACATGTGCTCCTACGGAATCATGAAGAGATCAAATAAGAGAAAAGAGAGCAGTCAGGCAGGGCATGCAGAGGAAAGCAGCAAGTGATATAAAGAAAAGACACACAAAAAGAGTGATGAAAAGTGATTGAGGTGGGGATAAACTGATGAAGAGAGGAGGGGAAGTGGTCTGCATGTCTTAGCAGGCTGCAGACCTCCTCTGTGAACGAAGTCCATCAGAGCTGTGCGATCTGGATAAGATTTATTAATCTCAGTAGGAAGCATGTGTGTGGGTAGCTACTGAAGTGCTTGTGTGGATATGAGTGTGAGCAGGGTTTAAATTTATCTGGGGAGGACTCTTGGCAAGCTTTTCATTGAAATATACCGTGGTTTGGTTGCTGCAGATTTCTTATTAGACTGTCATAGTAGAGTATAGTCCCAGGTCTGTGACGCTGGGGCTGTAGTGGCATTTTCCCCCCCATTATGCCATACTGTAGTTCTTCAGATGCAGTGTTCAAACACATTGCCATAAAAATGTACAGTTTATTGTACCTGTATGTGTGAATGCATCTACATTTGTGTTTCAGCGTTTGTCTTACTATTAGATAGAAAAACAACAACTTTGTGTTTGTATTTTCACAGTGGGTTGTTTCTTTGTACATGTGTGTCGGAGAGATAGATATGTTTTTTGTGCGAGCGCCCTCCTTACTGACCTACATGAAGTATCAGTGGCAGCTGGATGATAAGGAAAAATTAAAAATGTAGGCTGGGACTCAGCTTGAAGACCAAAGCCATGGCTTAAAGTTTCCCCAAATATACACACGAACGGACAGGAACGATAAAGATAAAAATAAAAATGGGACCAGATCAGTTTAAATCAAGTATAGTAACAAGGATTTGGTTAAATGTCAAATTTAAACATCAACATTTAAAATAAAAAAAAAGTTCATTCTTGGCGGGGGGGAGGGGGGGGGGGGGAAGAATAGTTGACTGAGGTCAGAGAATACCACAGTTAATTTCTTGAGAGGACTGAACTACAGATTTTGCAGTAAAGAGACAAGCACCATTTATTCTTGAGTTGAGTGCAATTCTGAAACCCCCCAAAATGAGCTTTTACTGATGTCACAATACCCAATTTTAAACTTGTTTATTGATAACAATATTAAATGTCACAGGTCATAAAATTAAATCTGATGTAATGGTACCAAAAACAGGGAAACAAAGGACTGTCTGCGTTGAGTTAGCTATTTATATATTTGCTTTTATTTGTTTTATTGACAAAAACAATGTTATTAAACAACAAAGTCCATGCTCAATAATCCAGGTGTACAATCCAACATTTTTCAGTCAGGTCATCTAGACAGTTTATTTTTTTTGTGCTGAAATGTTTCACCTTGGGTCCTTCTGTCCAGATGACCTGACTGAAAAATGTTGGAAAGTTATTAAACGTTAATTTTTTTAAATCCATAGCATTATTGAATAACTGACAACTCCAAGAACCGTTCAACAAACATGCATGTGCTCCTCTTGCCATTTCTCTAAACCAAAGAAAAGAATACCAACAAACACAAAGATTAGAGGCAGTTTCTAAATGAGATTTTTCTGTTTAACATTTCTTGATAAATTGATTTTCATTTTGGTCAAAGTTCTGTGTGTAAAGACACTCATGAGAAACAATACTCAAACCTTTGTTTTAATGTCTACATTTTTAGCATATGGCGAGTTTGATGTCAGCAGAGAGGTCTTTTAGCATGTTGTTGATTCAAGTGTTTGTATCGTCAGCCAAAGGCTCTTTTGATAGTGCAGCTGCGTTTTCCTGCAAGGAGAATGAGCCTCTCCATTATTGTGTAACATTTTTTCTGCCTAGCAATAAGCTTAGCCACTAAGTAACTTGCCTTCATCACCATATCAGACATTTTTACACAATTGGATGCATGTTCTTATAAAGTTATACAGTAGTCCCTCATTTATCATGGGGGATCCGTACGCTGAAGCCCCACGTAAGTGAAAAACCGCAAAGTAGGAATAGTAGTACAAGTAGTAAGTAGTAGTTTTAGTATATATATATATATATATATATATATATATATATATATATATATATATATATATATATATGAAGGCGTTTTAAATTCTTCCTACACTCTTGCAATATTCTAAACAATGTTTCTAAACTCTAAATGCTCTAAAAGAGCATAGAATGTCATGATTTCAGCTCCCTGCCATGACTGCACTCTGCGCTCTCGGCCACGCCCACTTCTCCGCCGCAGAACGGAGATCGACAGAGGAGGGAGGAGGAGCTGCAGGAGGAAGCTTCTCCTGCTGCAGTGTGGGCTGCACACAGGTGCAGCAGGGGCTAAATAACCTACAATAATTATTTTTAAATAAAAATCGCATGCCATTTGTGCAGCTCATCCATCATTCAGCCAATTGTGTGTCACATCCAATCTTATTTTGAAAAAAACGCGATACAGCGAGTCAGCGAGTCCGCGGAAAACGAACCACAAGTAGCGAGGGACTACTGTACTTCTAAAGAAAAGGGGCTGTAATCATATGTAGAGTATTGGTTAAAATAAGTATGCACAGTAACTTGATTTGTGTTTTTAGGGAAAACACACATCATTTGTATTTAACATGTTCTACACAAACATTGCTCCTCCAGAACATTTTGCATTTCACATTATTGAATTATGTTACATGTTGAAAAAAATGTATTGTTTCAGTTGCATCATCAGCTTGCATCCAGGT